AAATGCTGGGGCTGGCCACATAAAATGACATGGCGGGCCACATGTGGCCCGCAGGCCTTGAGTTTGACACATGTGTCCTAAACCTAATAATGTCTGGTTGTCTTCCTATGTGTAGGGCACTGTTTGACTATGAGAAGTCAAAGGACAGTGGACTACCAAGCCAGGGGCTGAGTTTCAAGTATGGTGATATCCTTCATGTTACCAATGCATCAGATGATGAGTGGTGGCAAGCCTGTCGTGTCACCAGCCATGGAGACAGCAAGGAGATAGGAGTCATTCCCAGCAAGAAAAGGTAATACCTGTATACAGTTCTCCTTAAGGTCAATTTTCAGAGTTACAGTTGAAACCATATGTTGCGGCTACCCTTGCATATTAATAAGGTCCAAAAATAAAAAATGCCAGAGTAGTTTTTCAGGAGGAAGTTTTTGACTCACTTAAAATATAAGCACCCACGTAGAGTTTTCTGGTTTCAAAAAGAGTATTTTCTTTACTGGTCAAAATAAGAAAAGAAATATTCTCCGAGTTGACTTCATACAAAACTTTTTATATAAACGTTAATTTTGTGTTAGACTGTTTCACTCTATTAAAGTGAAACAGACTATTAAAGATGCTCAAGGTACTGAAAAATTAGGTAAAAATTAGGTAAAATCACTTTTTAGCTATCTTTTTAGCTATCTGCCAAATATTACAGATATTAACAAAATTTCCATTAAAGAAGAAAGTACAATTCGCAGGTGACAAGACGAGGTAATTTAGTTGCCAGACTATCCAAGACTAAAGCCAGCACATCCAATGCTAACGCTAGCTTATCCAGGCTAATCACCAGTAGAAGAAGAAAAACTTGAGTTTCTATTTGGAGAGGAAAGTCACTAGCCTCTCCAAGTTAACGCAAGTGAATAGCCTCTTTCTCATTTGCTATGTTGGCTGCTCAGTTATCAGAGCCAACCTATGATAAATCATATCAGTAGCTGGTTTCAGAATGGAATTATCCTCCTCTGTCAAGCCACCACTGAGAGGCATGCATTAACAACTTAAATTATTTTGCTTTGGTAAATGACTTACTTGGTTGTTTGCAGAGTGGAACGGAAGGAGCGGGCACATCTAAAAACTGTGAAATTTAATGCCAGTGCAGGATTGTGTGATTCAAAAGTGGTAAGTTCTTGTATTAAGATCTTATTCTTTTCCATAAAAAACACAGCCTTCATTAACATTCAAAGTTGTCTTTTTGGCAGAACTCATCTTTAAGTTCTTTACATGGCTTCTATGAATTACTCTTGGTCATTTATTGTTTAGTTTTCA